CGAGACTCCCGCCCCCGCCGCCGCGGGGAAATTCCGGGAACAAAGTTTGCGGCCCGCGCGGCGCAGCGGCCTTCGCAGCTTACCATTGTTTGGGCTCGTATTGACCCCGGGTCCGGATTAGGCAGCGGCGGCTTTCGGCTTTACAGCCCCGCCGGCCTAATGAGGCCGGGAGGCGATGGGGCGCGAAGCGTCCTCGGAGCCCGGCCGCCCGGGGCCCTGTAGGTGGAGGTTAAAGGGTCAGCGGGCCGAGACCGCGGAAGGAGTGACCCTAGGAAACGAGCAGGTCCCGGGTCGGCCGGGCCTCCACCGAGTCGCTAGAACTTGGTGTGCAGACGGGGAGCCTGTGCGCCCGAGGAATCTGAGGGCCGCCGCGCGGGAGCCCCGACTTCCGAAACCCTGGCCTCTCCCCCGGGTAAAGCCTCGTTTGGGCCTCCAGGGCCAGAAGTCAGGGAGCAAACCAACGTAACTGCCAGGCGGAGAGCCCGCCCTGCAGGGCTAGGCAGGCCGGTGGCGATGCATTCCGAAATTTAAGTGGCAAGAGGCTGTTAGACTTTTTTCGTTTGTTTATGGAGTTTTCTGGGGGGAGGTGGGCGTGGGGGATTGAGGGAGCCGGGGACGAAAGGCAGAGACACCAGGCGGTGAGAAGGTAGAAAGGGGGAGGGGCGAGAAAGTCCTGGACACATCCACTTTCCTGGGAGGCTTTGAGAGCAGAGGGCCCCGCTTGGAGGTCTCCAGCCTTCGCAGTAGCGAAGCCGGGCTGCCCTGCTTAGCCTGGACCCTGATCTTTCGCCTTCCGAACTGGATGAAGGCTAGACTTCTATCTGCGGTGGCCCAAATTTGGGAAATAGACACCTCCCCCTTCCCCACCCAACAGTGAGAATCTTACGTTGAATCACACATTTTAAAAAGGATATGGAAGGAAAATAAGTAAAATCACTAAGCCTAGCCAGGCTTCACTCTGATTGTGAGCCGACATTATGGTTTCCAGTTGATCCAGTTCTTTAGAATTGCAAGGTTGTTGGGTCTGGGGGTGGTTTTTTCCTTAATTATGATTTTTTTGGGTGTTCGTTTTTGGGGGGAAGGGTACTTATTCTTTACGATATTTTACTAAAATTCAAGAATGTAAATGTATCCCTAGACGCAGATTATAGGAAGCAGAAAATCTGAGTTTTCTGCCAGAATAGTTTTCTTTGCCACAAATGACATAGACTATTTAAGAAAAAACGATACTACTCCCGAATTAGAAATAATCTTTTCTATTATCTTAATATTGGTTATCATCATTGCTATTAATTAGCATGATTTTAGGACACACACAATAGTTTACGAATTTCAAGCTCACTAAAGAAAAAGTATTTTTTATGTCTCCTAAGGAGATATGGGGGGGGGAGTGCAAGTTTGAATGAATAATAACCAATCCATCACTCCACTCCCATTTAAAGTTAGGTTAGGTAGGGTGGAGGGGACTCATGGAGAAAATAGTAAACTCTGGGAACTCAATGCACATTCCAGGAAAGAATACACTATTCCACTTTCACACTGGACTACCTCTAGAGCCAATCTTCTTAATATGCACTTTCTGAAAACTCTCTAAGCATTTAAAATGGTCTCTGGTTTGAAGTGAAGGAAAATCCTGAAATAGGAATTTGGCCTAGCACCCTCAATGTCAAGGTCAAGATTGGAGTGTTGGGAGTGGGAGTAGTAGGCTGACCAGGTTACCTGCTCATCACATGTGTAGTCATCCCAATCTCTCTTCACAGCATTCACGCCCTTGCCTTGGCTATTGGTGGAAGAAAGTGCAAAAGCTCCCATTTTCCACAAAAATGCTGCCTCCAAAGCAATTTACAATTACAAACCATCAATAATTAATTTGTTGTTGACATAGATCAGTAGATAACTTAAAAAAAAAAAAAAAGCTTGCTTCAACTGTATCCAGGGAATCAAAGTTTCCTTTAATCATCAGAAGTTCTCTGAGCATTTCAATTTATGGTTGATTTATTTTAACATGAAAAAACACCGGGCACCAAATACAAAAATGTTATAACATAAATAAGATGTGCCAAGACTTTATTTCTTTAAAAAGAACAATGAACAAAATTCTAGAATTAAAAATGATTATAATACCAAAGTGACTGTCACCAAAACACTGAGAGCATTGCCCCTTAAAGAGAAGGAGGCGCTTAAGCCTATTTATTACATTTCTAAATACTTTACAATTCCTTATCTCCACCTTTCTATTTGCTGACCTGCAAACTTATTATTCATGCAGAGACTGGGCTCAACATTAAACAGCACCCTAAAATAATTAATAAAAAAAGGTCTCTCAGTACTCTATCCACTCCAACCCCCCAAAATAGCAATCTATTAAGTTTCTTTTTGAAATTACCACTGTAAAAGAACTGTTTGTCCAAATGAGTTGCTTCACTGGAGAAAGATTAATTGGATTAATATTTTATCACAAAGCAAACAACCATTTTTCATTGTTACTGATTTTAATGAAAACAATTCTCTTAACATTTTTGCCTACAAACCACAAACTTTAAAAATACATATTTTGCAAATGTTTTTTCTTTCCATAGTATCATTTCAGAACCACTGCAGGTATTACACCGCTATATAAATGTTATGAATAATTTCGATAATTATGAATTGAACTATGTACAGCAAAACAAATCAGCCTTTGCCTTCAAAAATTGTAAATGAACTATGGTTCTTTTAAGAAGCACTTTAACTGTAAGTAAGTACTGCTCAACTGGCCTTACTCATCGCCACTGTTCCAGACATATGCTATCTTTTGAAAATATATAGATAGCTAGAGTTGATAGGCAGATTAGAATAGATAAGTCATAGATACAAACATATATAGGTATATGGGTGATCTCTAGATAGACATGCATCCTGCCACAATGTTCATTTTTATGTAAGGTAATAAAGAACTAAGGGACATAAAACTTATTAGGTTACCTTATGTTTATATATGTAGGGCAGGGATGATTAAATCCAGCTTCTCAGTCTTTGAAGTACAAGATTGAGATGTCATGGCCACTAACTGATCAGTAATATTTGATTTGCATGCCGAAAATCCAGGACAAACACATTTAAACTCGCAGTTAAAGAACCATCTGAGCTAGAGATAAAGAAAGGAGGGTCTTCCCAGATGGAAGCTGACACTGTAAAGAATCTAGACTGCAATAGAAAAATAACTTAACAATTAAAAAAGGGATCTGAATGAATTATAAATACCAACAAACAAGATTTAATTTGCTCACATCTCCTCTTTGTAGGAGGAGGCTGTTACAAAACAAGAGAAAACAGTCAGTGGTTCAAAAATTGTAAATTGTGTTCTTCTTTCAAAACAATAAATTTTAATGCTAAAGCAGTTATAATCAAAAGCTGTACAGAATTTGTTAGAAAACATTTATCCATAAATATTGTTCAGTTCCCGGCACTTGTAGCAATAATTAAATTACAAACGATAAATATGGCATCAATGGATATGTATTTACAAAAAAAAAAGTTATTACAAAAGGCAACTGCATACTAAACGTCACAATCTGTGTAGAGTAACATCACATCCTCAGCCTGAAAAAATACTGAACAACAGTTTCGACCCCATTAGACAAAAATACATTCACAAGTGTAATGCTTTGAGGAAAAGTTCAAGACATAACAGGACTTTGGCACGGTTTAAGACTGTGAGAGTTTAAACAATCACCACTAAGGCGAAGAAGAATTTCCATCAGTTTAACATTACCACCACCAACAAACCTTCTATAGCTTCCTCTCAAGCAACAGGACAAGTGTTAAAATTAATTGAAGGAGTTTAGGGATGGGGTGGGCAGAGAGCAGAGGAAAGGGGGAGGGGGAAGCAGTTTAAAGATTTTTTAAAAAAATCCTTCAAATGCCAAAACATATTTTCTAATCCTGAGAAAAGGGCATGGTTACTTTTGGATCTTGCCCAAAACCTTCCTGGATAATTGCAGTTAACAAGATGTAGCCCTATATATGGCTGCTTGCCTTAAAACTCCATTTCCATCTGATTGGTCTCAGTTTTCTGTTTAAAATGCATTTGGTCCATTCTATGGATCACAGGGTTTGTGTGTGTCCTCAGACGTACCATTCGTTAAAATTGGGAGGAAGTCCAGGGTTGTGGCTGGTGCTAGTTTGAACTGCAGAAGGGGTTTTAGTGGTATCTTTACTGTTTGCAGAAGCTATAGCGGGTGGAGTGGAAGATTCATAGCCTGAACTGGCAGCAGGGGAGGAATCTGACCCTTGAGATTCATGAACCTAAAATTAACATGTATATATTATAATGAATATAATTCCAACTGGCAATGTGCAAGCAAAAACAGAGCAGAATTCGAGCACGGTAAGAGCAAGACCGCCCAGTGACCCATTTAAAAGAGAAATGCTGGGGTTTTTTTGTTGTTTTTTGTTTTTAAATTTCCACATCACCGATGTCTAGAAAACCCGGAGATGTTCGCCAACCAACCAGTTTCAGTCCTAAGATTGGCATCACGAAAAAGGAACAAAACACTCCGTTTTATTCATGCACCTTCAAAGAAGGCTTTCTCCGCGGATGGAGTGGGGTACGCAGTTATTCTTTGGGGCCCTATAAAATACTCCGGGCCCAGCTTTCACCAAGCCTGTTTGGGCTTGGGAAAACGAGTACAGAGAAAAGTGGCACAGGGGCCCTGGGCGCTGCGAAATCTCAGACAAACGTGTGAGAACCAGACCACTCTCCTCGGCTCTATTGTTTTATCCGAAGCCAAGCCGAAGAGCGAATAACCCACCCACCCCGGGTTCGGCGTGGCCACTCTCGGTTCCCACTGCGGGCGGAGCCGGGAAGAAGTGGCCACCGCAGCCTGAGCCTGGCGAGCTCGGCTACAGCTTCCCAGTAAACAACAGATTGTTCCCTCCGCTTCCTCCCCCTCCCTCCTGCATCCCCCCTCCGGGTCCCCAAAATGGGTTCAAGGTGTCACCGCTGGAGCAAATCGGATTTAGCGTGGAGGCTAGAGGGTTGGCAGCGCGGACGCTTCAGTTCCGCGGCCGGGTCCCGGGCGGAGTGTTTATAAACCGCTGACCGCTAATAAAGAGGTAATTACCTTCATGTGTTTGCGCAGGGAGCTCGGGTGCGTGTAGGACTTGTCGCACACTTTGCAGATATAGGGCTTGTCCGAGGTGTGCACATGCATGTGCTTCTTGCGGTCGCTGCTGTTGGCAAAGCGTCTGTCACAGCCTTCAAATTCACATTTAAAAGGTTTCTCACCTGCAAAAGGGAAAAACGCAGAGGGGAGGGAAATACGGTCAGGGCCGGGAGCTTCCCAGGGCAGAGTCGCGGGAGACTGCTGGCCCGGCAGTCTTCCCGGAGAGGGAAGGCGGACTGGGGGCGGCTGCGGCATCTCTTTTCCCTGGAGAAAAATGGAGAGCGCTGGCTGAGCCTGCTGGGCTGGGGAGTGGTGGTCGGGGGCGGGGATGGGGCAGGGCCGGCCCAGAACCTGACCGTCCCTTTGTTCTCGCAGGACTGGAAAGCCCTGGGTTCCTCCGAAGTTTCCCCTAAGTTGTGGTACGAGCCCACCCGGCCCAGGGCTCCCAACGCGCTGCCACATTCCGCCGCCACCTTGGCGAGGTAACCAAGCCCTGGCGGGACAATGGGCCGGGGACGGGACAATCCCGTTCAGCTTCTTCTTTGTACCTTTTAATTTGCCTCTTTCAAATGCAGGGTCTTTCTAAGGGAGCCCAGCGTTAAAAGCCTGGGTAGTCGTACTTAACGTTCGAAAAGAGAAAAATGTATAAATCCAGGGGCTTCAGACAGTTTTACAAGCTGTTCTGTACAAGGCACGGAACTGCGGTGCTTTTTCTAGTTTAGCTTTCCTCCTGGAGGATTGAATTGAACCTGGAACTCCAAATAAAAATAGTTTTGACAAAAGTATCAGTCATTTAATTAGCAGATGTGCCAATCAAACGTAAAAAGGAGCGGAAGTAACCGGAAGTTAGTTTTCATTAGCATTTCTATGGTTGCCTTCCTCAACCATGTGCCGAGAGCTAAGTCGCTGGTAAGCAATACGCTCTCAACATATTCGAAGTCCCTTCCTAGTAACCCAGAAAGGGAGACAAAAAGAGGCGGCGCCAGCTTGTTCCTGGGCGCGAGAAGGTCCCCAATTAGTTCCTCGGAGAGACCGTAGAGCCGTCTGCCCGGGAAGTCAGAAGTGGGCAAAGCGCCGCGGAGCGGGGAGGGCGAGGGTGGAGGGGCGCTGACAGTGCTTCTCTTCCGAATGGCCTTCGGGGCGCCGCCCTCTCTCTGCTTGGCCGCCAACCCTCTCTCCCGCGAGCTGCAAGTCCACTCCGAGAGCCCTGCGCCCGCCTGCCTTCCCCCTTACCTGTGTGGGTCCTCTTGTGGATCTTGAGGTTCTCGGAGCGGGCGAAGATCTTCCCGCAGCCCGGGAAGGGGCATGGGAAGGGCTTCTCGCCCGTGTGCACTCGGATGTGGTTGACCAGTTTGTACTTCGCCTTGAAGGACTTGCCCTCGCGGGGGCACTCCTCCCAATAGCAGACGTGGTTGTTCTGCTCCGGGCCCCCCACATGCTCCATGGTGACATGCGTCACCAGCTCGTGCATGGTGCTGAAGGTCCGGTCGCAGCTCTTCTTGGGCCGGCTCAACTGAGACTCATCGATCCACTTGCACGACAGCTCCTGCTTGATGGGCTGCCGCATGTAACGGAAGAAGGCGCCGGGCCCGTGGTGGGCCGCTACGTTCACGCCCATGTTCATGTTCATGGGGCTGTAGTTGGGGAACTGCGCGCCGGCCGCGTAAGGGTCCGTGCGCGGGCTCGCCACCGGGCGGTACGGGTCGGCACGACCGAACAGCTCCCCGCGCAGCCCCAGGTGGACCTGGTTGTTGTCGACGTGCCCGGTGGGCGACGGGTGCCCGGCGCCCTGCTCATGTAACCCGGGAAAGAGCAGGTAGCTGGGGGGCTCGGGGATGCCCGCGGGCGCGTGCAGGCTGCCCGCCGAGCCAGCGAAGAGCCCGTGCTGCCCACCGCCCGAGGCCGCCTCGCCGAGCCCGGAGCCGCGCTGGCGGAAGAGAAAGTCGCGCGTGGAGTTGAAGGCGGCGGAGGCCGCGCCGCCGTAGCTGGGCACCTGGCCGGCGTGGTGGTGGTGGTGATGGTGGTGGTGGTGGTGGCCCAGGGCGTTGGCGTAGCCCGAACCCTGCGGCGTGAACGCCGAGCTTTGGCCCGAGGACAGATCGTGAGCCGCGGCCGGGCTCAGCTTGAAGGCGGCGGCGGCTGCGGCGGCGGCGTGGGGCGAGTCCCCGAAGGGGTTCAGCCCCATGCCGGCCGGCTCGCGGTTGGGCATCTCGTGGTGGCGCGGCGCGCCGAAGCTGCCCACTCCCAGCCCGGGGAACTGCGGGCCTCCGTCCAGGAGCATCGTCATGGGTGGGGCGATCTGGCTGAGGTGGGCGAGCGTGCGGGCGAACGAAGAGATCTCCGAAGTGCAGCTGTCGGAGAGGAGCGGCTGCTGGTCGCTGCCCGCAGCCCCCCGAGGCGCGACCTGGGGCTGCAACTTTCCGTCGCGGCCCGAGTCTCCTGCAGAGGGACAGGAGGGAGGAGGGGAGAAGGAGCGGGAGGGGAGGAGGAGGGGGAGACGAGGGAGGAGAAAGGCTCAGGACTAGTCTGCTTGAACTAACTACCCGCGGTGCACAAAGACAAATAAGCAAAATCAGAAGCGGAGGTGGAGGGGCAACTCCAGCCGGGCACCCCCCTCTCCCTGAGCCGGGGCACTGCGCCAGGCGGCTCCGGGCACCGGCCTCCGGCGGCTGCGCTCGGCGGCAGGGCCGGGCAGCTGGCAGGCTCAGTCCTCCCGCTCGCCGCGCCACTCTCAGCCTCTTCGCTACCAGAGTAATGTCCTTGGACTGATAAAGTCAATCACTCACCCCTCGCACATAAACGGAGCGGGCGGCCGTCGGCGCGCGCCAATGGGGAGCCGGCGGGCCCGCGGTCAGC